AATTAAGAATCACAAACCAAAGCAAAGTCGGTGATTGACGCAGTTAAACAAATTGAATGAAACATTTTTACGGGTACTAAGAAGTTAATGAAGAAATTTTTGGTGATTTGGAACACCCTAAAACATTAATTACGCAATTAAAAAATTATTAAATAAATTTTCAGGTAATACCTGAAAAAATCTTGTTGATACAAAACGATCGGTCGTAAAATGCGATAGTTTCTTTTCTTATTTTTTGATAAATGTATGTTAGAAATCAATTCTTGAAGGATTTCAGTCCGGGCGATCAATAATTCGAACGAATAAACATAGAGTAGCGTGTAAAGAATAGCTGCGTTCAATACAACATTAATCGAATATATTTGAAATAATATTATTAAAAATATTATTCCCCTGTGCTCCAATTGAAACGGAACGTAATACTCAAACATAAAGCAGTGTTTAGTGATCATAAAATTAATACATTTATTCTTCCACATAACGTAATACGAAATGACGTTTGCAGAAATAAACGCGACGAAACGAAACGTTTTCAACAAAGATTCCATATTTTTCTCAAGAAATGTAACTCGTTTGGTTACATTATTATGATTGAAATCACTTAATAGATTAAGCATTTCGAATAAAGCATCTCGGTTCCTAAGCAGTTGGATGTTATAAGTGATAATGAGCCCAGCCAATGAAAGAAACTTAATGTTAAATAAGCATTTTGAAACGTCCTCCTTAAAATCTGAATAATATTAAAAAGAAAGTATCAAACAAACTTTTTTTCTGTAAATACTCACTTGATATTTCCTTAAATATTGGGCGAATCCCCAAAATTATATTTAGAGTTAATATGATAGCGGGTAGGAGTCCTCGAAATCCTCGCGAAATGGGCCAAGTTTTACATTTCAAACAATATCTCTTTAAATGGTAAAAACCGAGGTCTTTCGACATCTTCACTGAATTAAGTTATTAAGGGTAATGTGATTAAGAAAGCAACGTTATAAACGCAACCATAATAATGGATTTCTTGGTAATGGATTTGTTAATGCATCTCTGAAATAATTAAGTTGTATCGGATAATGATTGTAACAAAACAAATGGTATCTTAAGAACAATAAAATTTTTTCAAAGACGGTTCGTTTCATTAAAAAGGTGACATTTTCTTCTATAATTGCTGAAAATTGGATAGTGATGTCTTTAAAAATCGATTTTTTATGATTTTTTGAAATCGATTCAATAATTAACTTAAAAATAAAAAGAACAATGACACGAAAAATTTAATATCTGAAGAAATAAAAAGTATTTTCAAAAACGGTTTTTTCCATTAAAAAGATTATAGTTTTCTTTATAAGTGGTGGTAATTTCGTAATGATTCCTTACAACCCCGATTTTATATGATTTTTTAAATCAAATCGAAAATCTTTATTTTCCCTATGATGTGAGAAAATGTATCGTTGTGTTTAAACATTTTTATCTCAAGAACGGAAAAATGTTTTCAAAAACGGTTTTCTTCATTAATAAGGTGACACTTCCTTCTATAATTACTACAAATTTTATTATGATATCTTTAAAAATCGATTTTTTATGATTTTTTGAAATCGACTCAAAAAATAACTTAAAAATAAAAAAGCGATGACACAAAATATGTAATATCTCAAGAAGTAAAAAGTATTTTCAAAAACGGTCTTTTTCATTAAAAAGATTATAGTTTTCTTTATAAGTGGTGATAATTTCATAACGATTCATTAAAATCCCGATTTTATACGATTTTTTTAAATCAAATCGATAATTTTTC